TCGCCTACATAGGGGGTGCAATAGAATGGCCTTTTACTACATGCGCTTGTTAACAATTTATTCATTTTAAAAATAATAACTCTTGAAAGTTGGGTTCAATTATGCCTCCTCCGATTGATTTTGGACCGATTCAGCACGACTGTTAAAATACATGAGTATATTTTCATATGACTACCAATAAATAAAAAATTTTACTGAAAGCAAAAATGGACGACACTAAATAGTATCATAATTTTCGTGTTACTTTCCCAATATTCTCAAATTTTATTAATTTGTTCTGATAAAATACGCAAACTATAGCTTGGTATGCATTGCATGTATGTAAAAGATACCACTCATTGTTGCAGGGCACAGCCATTATACAGTGGCTGTCGACCTCGTATGACTTGATGGAGTACGGTACCTGGTTGAATTCAAATTACCATTGTATGAAAGGTCAACATCGGAGGGTGGACCCGTAAGCAGAGACACTTACACGTAATCCACAGGAGCAAGAAGAATCTCCTTCCAATAATAAAAATGTTCTAACCCGATACAGGACAAGCCATCATACGAGGAGGTGTCCCAATGAGTGGGGAGAAGAGCCCACCTTTAATTCACAAAAAGTTAACAACAGGGAGTTGGCAATTCCGCTCTCCCCATCCAAATCGCTTCAAACAAGCGCCCTGTTGTTCCCATCTCTATCCATTGAATTTATATGTTTACATGCAAATATGTACGATATAAGAATATAAAATAATTGCTGCCAACGGCCATGACGTAAACAGTGAACTTTACTTGGCTCCTCTACTGGATCAACATGTGTACCATCTGTCACTGTCTTCAAAAATATCTAATAGCAATTACCTGTGGTGCGATACTTCCTTCAACAAAAACTAATTTTCTTGCATTGTCATGGTCATCTAGTCTAAAGAAGCTAGTCCACCGAGTACTCGCAATAAGCGGTGATAAAATGCATCCCAACAATGGGGCAAAATGTACTTCAATAATGGGGTAAAATGACACTCCATGCCGTCTCATAAATTATCAAGACCAATTGATGCAGAAGAACGTCTTCGTTTTTGACTGCCTCCAGTTCCGATCATAGGTGTTCTAATTTCTAAGGTCTATGACTGCTTAGTACACTTCGGAACGTGGCGGACAATTTCTGAAGAAAGAATTGAACGTAAACAAGCTTGTTTACTACAGGATCATTTTGCCCCGAACTGAGGAGTGCATTGTGCCCCGAATGTATAATGAAGATGTTTTTATCATAACATAGAAATACATATTAAAAGTTACCGGTATTTTTTTCTGAAAGATGTAGCTCTAATCTCAGTCAAACGGGTAATGTTTGAAACGATTAAAAATCTTAACAATGTGCAGTACAAAATAACAGCATATCCAATGCAAATTAGTTTTTGTTTTTATTTACACTATCTGACAGCATAGAGCTGCCAGGTTGATACGGTGTCCAAAGCAAACATACACACTTAGAAATTATTATTTTTACACGAGACGTAATTCTACTTTGTCGTAAATCATGGAACGTAAACAAACATGGAATGTAAAATTAAGTGTCCTGAAACTGAAACATATGCAACTTGATGAAAAGTACGTTTGATCGAGTTGATTTTCTCGTCCTTTTCAACTGATTCTTATGTCAAAAGGGCCGCTTGCATGTGTCGGTCTCAGGGCACTGAAATTTACATGTCTTTTTCGTAGTGTGTAGATTTAACTTGTAGGGTAACTAATTTGTTGTAAAAATGTATTTTAGGCTTGAAACGAAGGAAGTGCATCTTGCCCCAATGGTGCATGCAACTCGGGGGCAACTTGACAGTTCCAGTATATTGCCAGTGTACCCCGACAATTTGGTGCTGGTGGTTCTGTCAAACTCACAAATTTCAGAAGTGTTATCTGAAAAGGGCGAATGCTGAAATGATGTACAGTAAACAAAATTAAAGTTTAAAATTCATCTTATTGCCGCGCGCTCACCAAATCAGACACGCGACTATAGCGACACAGGAGCTCCAGTGATGCCAGCTAAATGTTTCGTTTTGATTCTCAGTAGTATGCACAATACATAATCAGTTTATGAAACTTTTTTTTTACATTGAGTAACATATGTATTTGAGGAGTACAAAACCAAAAGCTTAAACATATGATTTGTAAAACGAAAATATATGATTGTCATCGAATCAATTGGAACAAATAAGAATTGAACAAAGATACTTTCAGTGTTTTTAACGCTATTGCTATTATCGTCGATAATCAACTAAGAAAGAATGGTTTGCAGTGAGTAAGAGTGTACTAATTATACGCAGCTAGTACTGCAAAATGTACAATTTGAGGTACTAGCATACAAGAGTACAACGTTAGAGTGTGATTTATTATTCAATTTGACTGAATTTTTAATATCTTGCAACAACGGATCTGTGACCATTACTCATGTGCAAAAATCGTCAGAGCGCAGTTTTAGCTGATATTCTAGAAAACACTACATTTTTCAGAGTTCTTCATGGTATTTGTGTGGTCATTGTCACTTTGCCCATAGCTGTGTAACTAAATAATATTACATACAAATTTATGGACTCATCTGTTTCTTGAGGCTTCAAGTTTGGTGAGGAATAACGTTAATGATAGGACGGGTGTTACAAAAGATTATCACTTTAATTTATTCGTTTAAGAAGCTCAATATTATTTTTTTTTTGAGACCGTTATTTGATTTAGTTTATTTAATTGTATGTATATCTTCAATTTTAAATGGATCTACAAAATGTTCCTCATCACCCAGCAAAGCTGCTACTCATCGCGAAATATAATAAAATTTGTAAGTTTTTGCGGATAGAATTCTTCATTCTTCCAAAGTTTTTGGCATTTTCCTCTAGCCGGATGTTGCAGATGCTCATAAGGATTCTATTTTCAAGCCGTTCGTAATATCTTCCAACGATGAAATATTTGTGGTGATTAATGAGTATTTACAGTTTAGTTTCAGAAGTCTTGCATGTTAGAAGAATATACAAGATCACAAGAATAGAGAAACACAGGAAAGTAAATTTTTTGTTTATTCATACAGCCCATGGCAAGCCTTTACCGCACCACTATAATAAAAACAAATCTTTAGGCTGATAATATTCAAGAGCAAAGTAAAATAGAAGACAGCAAAGTATTTTATTGTTATTTGATTATTTAAGAAAATGAACCTTCTTCAATCGGTTTCAATTTGTTTGGATTATTTCATTTCACCACGAACAAAATAAATTCGCTCTTATCATATACCATTCTTGTCTGTTGTTTGACATCCACACATGGAGAAACAAAAAGTTGTATTCCCATAGAGAAATGCCATTACGGCGGTGAAGGACAATCCCTTTGTTTATGTTGTGTGGCGACATCTACTATTTGCAAGTGGGTACGTGAAACTAAGGTTATCTGTCACCTTGCCGGGGACTTGGGTGCATGTTACCCCAGGCTATATGGCGACTATATGGTTACTTGGGTACTCATATGGCCGTCAGAATGGTTCATCGTTTGCGAAGTGAAGTATTTTTGAAAGTGATGTGTTATATTTCTCAATGTTTTGATTTTATCGTAACGTTACCTCAATATTATAACACAGACAAACAGGTATAACACATTGAACATTTCTCAATGCAAACACTACCGTCATCTGTCATATACGCTCAACAGATGACTGTAGAGTGTAAACGCCGAACGCTAGAGAATTGATTATGCACGCCACAAGTGGCGGTATTACCAACTAATAAACTTTTAAATTTACCGTTAAAACGATGACCGTACTGTGAGATGATTGTCCAACGCTTCTGGCTCATCGCACCCCTTGATTTCCCCTTGTATTTCCAAAAAAGTCTTGTATGCAATGTCCAAGCTGTCCAGACGCACTTGGACTCGGATCATATCACGTTTTTCGTTGTAGGCAGCAAAGAATTTCTTCACAATTGCAAGTGTGGCTTGACAGCCCTTCTGCTAGATTGTCAAGGAGATTCGATCTTGGACATCGTGGCCACTCAAGAGTATAAAAACGTGAACCGAACTCAAACGCTTCTCGTTTTCAACGCGTAAGCAATTAACAATTCCTTTCCGTCACGGGAAAAAAGACTTGAATCTCCTTCCCATGTCTCCGAGAAAAAAATCGTCACTTATCTTCAAAAACTCCCTCCAAACCTTCTCCCAGCGCGTGCACAGGTAGAAATACATTTTCAATCAACCTGAACAAAAATATGATCATCTCTTATTTTATGGCAACTCGTTCCGAATTTCTCTATATATACTCTCCCAAAACATATCAATGCAGAAATCGAACACATCACACCCCCTCGGCAATGGTTTTACAGAACAAACCACCGTAATCCCCGCGGCATCGAGCCATTATTAATTCCTGGTTCGAAATTAAATTTTGCACACAAAACGATAATTGATAAACCATGAAACGAAACAGATAAAATTTCATGCTTCATAATTCCATTATGACTTACATTGTGCGCTGCATTGAAACCAAACAGGACGAATTCAATCGGTGCTGCACAAGCACAGCACACCTCTCCGGGCACATTTCAAATTCGTTGATTTCGGTTTTTTACTTCTCACCCGCGTTTACCAATATCCCTGTTGTTTTCCCTAGCATTTCCGGTGAAAGCAGTCGTCACCGTCGTCGTCGTCGTCGGTTGGCTTCCGATTGGTTTCGGTGTGAATTTGCACACAAAACAGCACCCTCTAGGCACCTTTTGGTTTGGGTTGCTATGGTTGGTGATTCTGGCCGGAGGAAAAGGACCAAGGGAGGTGGATTTTAAAGCGATTTAATGCGTTTCCATTTCTCCGAAGCTCAGCAGTAATTATTTGCGCCCGCGAGATCCGCCAACCGGCGGATGTTGTGCGTTGGTGTGGGGTGACGAATTTCAATCAGTTGCATAAATTATTGAGCGGTTTCCGTGCAAATTGCATCGATTTTTCGCTACAGTTGGATTTAATCTTCTTACGTGATTTTGTGTTTCCCTTTTCAGAATGATACAATGCGAGTGATATTTATGTACTCGTCGGAGGAACCCCAGGGGAGATCAACAGAGCTACCGGGGCCGCTGGAAGCTTTCAAGGGATCCCGATCATTGTTCCTTACGCAGAGGACCAACCAGAAGCCACTGGCGAATGCCGCCGATGTCAACATTCTTGAGCTGAGGAATGAGGATGTAGAACTGCCGGAGAGTGACGAGAGTCTGTATTGGTGCAAGATATTCAAGCTCGATGATTTCCACCAGAAGCATCATCTTGTGAGGGTAAGTCATTTATGCTAAGGAAACGTTTTGGCAACAGTTTGATTGTTTTTGAGTATAAGAGCAAATTTGTAACCTCATTTATCGATCGATTAGTATTGTATTAATGCTAGTTCAGAAGCATTTCGGATTCAAAAAGTAGATCTCAAAATCATTTGAGAGCTAATAGAAACGTTATTTATAATATAACAAGTCAGCTAGAAAAAAACAATGCTCATCAACTTATTCGAAAATTGAAGCATCAGATAAGATAAGCTGTCACCGTTAATATATAATCCAATAATTAATGTCAGCAATCAGCATTACTATCAAATTCATAAATTAATTCAACATCCTATTCAATTATCCAAAACACAACATCTGATAAGTATATCCGAGTTCAGATTACGTCCCAAGAAAATAAAATTCAAACCAAGAGGGATGCGTATTCACCCTCTGAGTCGTGTCACGTGGTGATACCACCACCTTAACCCCTCGCCACTTGCCAGCCCGTACCAATCGTGTATTGAAGAAACGGACCCCTCAAACTCATCAACAGCTGGCTCTCCTCGAATCATATCTTTCTTCAGAACTTGCCGCCACGCACAACTTTGTAAGATGATCGCGGTTCGTGGCTGCTGATGCACTTCAAACCGTGTACATTTGAAACCGAAGCATCACGCACTACTAAATCAAATCCGGGGGAAATCATCATCGTCACTTGAGATTAAATTTGCAGATGAGACGACGCGGCACATTGTTCCAGAAATTGAGTTTCTTTCGTCCTTTCTCTGGAAAGGGGAAGATTATTACATCCTTAACCTAAATATTTGTTCTCCGGCGGCGGTAAAGTCGTGTCAGTGTGGGGTGAAAAAACAATAAGCAATAAAAACGGTTCCTCCCCTCAGGGGGTTCAAATTCGGTAGCTTCCCCCGGAAGACCGATTTTGAAAAACAATGTAAATGCACTCTCGACGCGGGTATTCAAATAGGATCCCTTCCAAATGGGCTGCCTCAAGTATTTGTGTACCGAGTGCGCACTCCTTCCGAAGGGTTCAATCAAGATTACTTCCGGCTATCCGGTCAAGAAATGATGACGACATATCGATTGATACGTTTGGAAAACCGCCTCAAGTCGTTCCGGTATGAACGGAAGAAGGACGGAATCCCAAGAATCTGGGACCAAATGTGTAGCACACTACTACTGGCCAAGAGAACTCGAGAGTGTAATTGCCCGCAGCAAATTTCACTCCCATTACGGATCCCAAGTTTGCCTAATGAAGGTCCACTTTCCGCACATACATACATTGAGTTCCATCAAACCGGATGTGTATCGTTTTCGACCGGAGTTGGAAATTCTTCCCGGACTGTGTGGCTCTGCTCGGTCGTAAAGGAATTCACTGCTGCACACATTTGACGTTGGCGTTTCATTTTCATTGCTGTTGCTGCCGTTTCGCAATGCCAACGGTATTTGTCGACAGGATATTAAATTTTCAATTTTCGGTTTTCATTCACTACCCCCTACTGACAGGAGTTGCAGTGGATGTCCTGTGTACATGTGTACAGATGAGAGTGTATGCGTGTGAGTGTGCCAATGCTTGTGTGTACTTACAGCATTCGCCCAGTTAAACGCTTGCAGCGGTTTTCCTATTGCAGTGTACGAAGATTTATCTTCATCAGGTCCGCAGTTGGATGAGGAAGGTTGGTATTCAATGAAAATCGAGATTGGCCTTCAAAAACAAAAATAAAAAAAAACAAGATTTTTGAACCTAGTGTTATTTTGTTCAACAGATTTTTGTAACAATGGTACGTTATGTACGTTAAAAAATCAGTTCAGACATGAAAAAGTTTTTGTAAGAAAAACTTTTTTTCCTTAAAAGTGCCCATCTCGCGATGTATGGACGGTTGGTAGTAAACATAATTACCTATCTTGAGGCAAAGTTTCATCCAAATCAAACATGGCCATTTTTCTTAAATCGACTTTAAATTTTAAAAATCGATTTTTTTCAGTGTAGGTCTCAAATGAAATTTTTTCCAGTATTTTTTTTCGATAACTTGGACAATTTCCTAAAAGTCATCCATATGGCACATTTTTGTAGGAGTTGTCATTTTTCATTAATATTTTTTTGAAAAAAATCGGCTGAAAAAGTTTGGCCCTTCTCAAATGTTAGTCTAGATAAATTTTGGAAAAACTAAGTATGCAAAGTGGCATATTTAGTCAAGGTCCACACATCCAGAAAGTTTCATTGAAATCTGAGAGGGTGCTGCCAGCTCCGAATACGATTTGGCGCGAAATGCGTCATATACAACCCAACTTCCCTGTCTGGCAGTGTTTTTATGGAAGAAAAATGTTTGCAATATAATATATTATCTTATACTGATCCCATTGCAAACAATTTTAGCCCGGAAGTTGAAAGGTGATAGCTCTGTTGAGATTCAGTAACCCATTTAAGAATGCCTGGTCACTCACATCCATTCCGAGGTTACCTTCACTTACAACAAGCCCCGCATACACGTAGTACCGATATTAAATGTATATTGGTGCTGCGTATACTTCCTGTTTTGTAGATGGCACGTAGGGGAAATGGCTCTAATGTTGGCCTATGTATCTTAGATTGGGCCCATCGCTAAATATCTGCTATTTATCAATTTTATCTAGATAAATGCGTCATTGGGACGGAACAAACAAGGAACCTAGACAATCGTTTCTATTCGTCAGGTGTCTGCGGCTTTCCCGTTGATGGCAGTAGCACCAGGACCTTCCATGCCGTTGGTGGGTGTAACGTTGTTGGTCGTGGGGGTGGTGGTAGTGGTGGTAAGGCTTGTAGTTTCCACCGCCAGAGGAGCCTTGCGCTCCGACGATGTTGGAGGGACGTCCTCCAGTGGAGAGCTGGAGTCATCGTCACTGGAGGAAACCAACGGTGCAGTACCGTTGATGGTTGAGATTGTTTTGAGCACTGTCGGCGGGGGAGGAGTGGTTCTAGCTTCCGCTATCTCTTTGGTTACCATCATTCTGTACGCTGCGCAGATGCATTCGCACACGAAGCGATACTGGCTCACGTTTTGCACCGTACAAGCCCGTTGATCACGCATTGCCTGTACAATATCCAGCGGATAGACGGGTTCCTTGGCTTCCATCAACGCAAGCGCTGTGTCCATCAGGATCAGAACCCCCGTTCGGCCAATGCCAGCAGAGCAGTGAACGATGATGGGAGGATTAGCGGCACTTATGTATTGATGCACCGAAGTGGAGGAGGGCATGTCGTTTGGACTTTCATCACTATCCGTGTGCACAATGCGTCACCCCGACGAATCCAAACCTCCATTATCATCCATTGTTCTCAATTTGACATTTTTCAAACTGGCTTCGATCTCCTGCAGCAGAGTAGTATTCCGCGCGGCACGTACCTTCTCTGTAAACTGAAGGAACAACTCCGTATCGGCCGGTACGCCATGGCCATCGTCTTCTCGTCCGTGAGCACCAGATCCCGAAACACGAAGCTGCCCGTTTCGTCCGGTTTTTCGTGGAGACATTTGATGGAAAATCCTGCCGAAAGGGACAGCGTTTCTTCGTCTGCCGAAGGCCAATACTGGTGACACTTGGGACGGCCTCGCTTGACGGTAGTCAGCATCACCCCCAAATGGCTGCTCTCCTGCTGCACCATCCGCGAAAAGTCGTTCACCGTGGTCGACAGGGGCCCCTGGGTGGTGATGTAGCGGTTGATGATCGCCGGCGGGGGAATTTCCATGTTGACGTAGTTGGCATTGATGTAGTCACCGCTTTCGGTATTCAGCAGGACCACGTGGGTGCAATCGTAAGGCGAAGCATCCCTGTAGTGGTTCTTGTTCAGATTGTCGTTCTTCCTGGCCTCCGTGATTGCCAGATCGGCATTCTTCCTGTACATGGTGTTGATTTGTTGAGCTGCATCAAGGGTAAAACCTACATCAAGGCTTCCGTTGTTTTCATTCCACTTCCTCACTCCATTAAAATATTGGTAATTATAATGAAGTTGACATTTTACAGTCCATGAACCATATTCTTGTTTTCGAGAACAAGGTTCACGATATCAATCACAACGCATGAACAAAAATCACATTTGCCAGAACTAGATCATGATTTTCCGAACAGAGTTCACGGTTCTATGACTGTTGCTACCTTTGCAGGCGTTACGTTTATTTTATGGGACATTATTCATGGTGTACTTTCGTAAACGAAAAATTTACTTGTTACGAAAATCGTGACTGGCGGTGGATGAGTTTCGGAACGGATTTTTTCTCGTGATTTTCTTTGCGATAGAAACGCAGCCATGATCTACACTACACCGTTCGAAAACTAGTACAAGTTTGCATAATTGATCGTGTAAATTGATAAGACATGAAATTTTCCATTTACATGCTTGAATGTTTGCATTTATGGATGTTTTCATCACCATTCAAATTCAGTAGTGTGTAAATGATTCCAAGACGGCAGATAATGCATTGGAATTCAAAAAACTCTGACACAGTTCAGTTTTATGAAAATAGACCAACCATCTTAATAACCCTTGCACACGTTAGATGCATACCATCCCAACTAGAAACCAAACGGTCCTCCGCCACAAATTACCACTTACTTCCAATAACCCTCATTGATTTGATGTGTATCTGTATATAACTTTCCTTCAGAACTTGAACTTGCATGGCCGTCGTCACTGGAAAAGCTAGGACAATTGTCTAGGAGTAGGGGGTCTTCACCCCCTTTTTAAATTATCAGTCGTTTTTACACATTTCCAGTATGTTGAAATTAATTGTTCATTGTTTGTATCGAAATTCACTTATTTATATGTCTAATTGACCCAAATACTCGTGGCATAAATACAAGAAGTTTGAGGGGTACATTGTTGACCGATAAGGTTCTGTATTATGATTGTTAATCTAGAATGTTTAATTGATTCAAGGATCTCGTGCAATTTTACAAGCCCTGGATTTTTATTTTGTATAGTGGATGATAATTTTTAAAGCGCATTTTTTCTAAAAAATAATATCTCTTCAAGTTTATAATCATACTTTACCTTTACTGTAGGCAAAAAAATATAACCCAATGATCTCGAGAAATATTTACGTATTCGAATTCAACGAGTTCAAAAATCTTGCACTCAGATATCTAATTTACTATTCAAAATTGAGATTTGTTTGCCCTGGATCTAGAAAATTTACATAACATGGTTGGTTGCCTCATTAAATTTGTGATTTAAAACTACCTGACAGTGAACAGTTATTGGTTACTACAATAATTACAGATAAAGCAGTGAACAAAGTTGCTGAAGACAGCAAGCTTCCAAAAAAGTTACCAAAATGTGACTTAAACATTATCAGAAAACTTTCAGAAATATAATCATGCAAATTAATTTGTCAGTCATCCAAAAAGGTAGGCATCGATTTCGTATCTGTACGCAGCCGTCAAAAGTTTATATTGCAAGATCTTGCACACCTAGATTAAAAACTAACAACACGGCTTTCAATAACAGAGATATTTTACCATATTTGAAATTGTTATGGTCTAGAATAAATCTATTCTCTTACACGTCACACTTTTTAAATATGAACTATGATGATCTCTATGCGATTTTCGAACTTGTTACCTAATAAGAAGACATTGCCTAATTATTTGAACTATTCCCGATATGCGGAATATATATAAACCTAAGATCTATTTTTTTTTTTAAATCACTGAAAAAATAATAATTCATCTACAACAGGAGTTGCTATTCATTCTACTGGCCGAACATCTACTGGACCAAACAAGGCTGAATTAGTCATTAGGTCGACTTGGGAAAGCGACATTATAAAGGTTGAACACGAAAAACTCCGGACACGAAAATCTTGTTGGGGGTTTAAAATGCGTTTTATGTTTTATAGTTCAATGTAGCAGTTATAAATTTGTAAGTATTATGCTTATTGTGAGACCATTGTTTCAATCTTTTTTCTTACCATAGGCCATTTCTCAAACTTTTCTTTTAACAAGGGCCATCATCTTTTGCACGAGCCCTGTTCCCACTTGTTTGGCTGCCAAATTCCATTTCCACTTGAATTTTTTCAGGCCAATTGCAGTTCCACCCTTTTTTCAGTAGGGTAAACTACCCCATTTCCGGCCTATTAGGCAAAAGCCGCACTTAGTCTTTCTTAATGTAGCGCAGTTTATCACCAAACGGAATGTTATTATTACTGATGGCTTCTAAATTAATTTACCTTTCCTTTAAGATTTGATAAAGAAAAACCAATCGTTGAGATATTGTCAAAAGTCTAACGCTGCTTCTTGACGCCAAACTCGGCTTACGGATTCTAAACTCAGCCTAACGCATTGAAACGCCATTGAAACGCCAAAGAATACACTTCGGCCTATCAGATGAAGATAAAAATTAATTATGTCGAAGCGCTTCTTTTGTTTTTTGGGGATAATGGGTGCAAACCTTCATTTCACGCGTTCTCATTTACTTCGTTTGGTAGCTTATTAACTAAAGTACCAATCGCATAATTGACTTGTTAGCTCTGAAATCATGGATTTATTTGAAGTTTTCTGCTCGAAAGACCCAAAATGAGCGATTAGGCTGAAGTAGATATGTACCCTATGTGTTTCACAATTGGCCTTAGTTCCGGAGAGTATTGGCCGGATTCATATCCTTGGGAACCACTGTGACGCCATTTTCGCTGTACCACTGTTTGGTGGAATTTGAGTAGTGGCAGCTTTCCAAGTCCGGCCAGAATAGACAATCCACCTCATGCTGCACTCCTCCGGGTAAATTTGCTGGTTCATGGTCCCAGTATCGCTTTTAATCCCACAACTGCAGATTGCTTGTCAGGAACTTTATGGCGAATTGCAATTTTTTTTTGATTTTACATTCTTCCGGGGCACTCTTCCGGCCAACCGAGGTATGCCCAGGAATTTGATCGAAAACTGCCAGGAGCGGATAGACCGGGATTAAGCTTATAAACTGTTTTAAACTATAAAAAATATAATAAGACATGATGAGTAAAATATCGAGTGATCGGAATTGTTTACGAAAGATCCCAGGAATTTATAAAATCCTTGAACTTCATCAGATTTTAAATCATTTGACATTTGGCAGACAAACAATCTTAAAATTTTGGAAATAAGAAAGTGTCCAATACATTTTAACTTGAGAGGTGTCAGACAAAAGAAAGGAAAACAAGGAATGAATAATTTGTTTTAAGATCTCTTAGTTTTGTCTTAGAAGATTTGTTAATATTCTCCGATTATTTTCAAGCTTGCAGTTTGTGGAAATATGATATATTTTGGATTTAGTTTTAATAAATTTCAGATTATTTATCTTTTAAATATTTAAACTCTGATGTCAATTGCATTTTAAAATAATATTTCGATTAATTTGCGATACCTCTACCAACAAGATATCAGTGCCAACATTTCAAAGGAGCGTAATTGCTTTTGTAAACAATGGCTTTTGCCGTCGATTTCTCGCAAATATACCTCTACCTATTGGTGTAATTAATTTTGAAATCGACGTTTAAAGCCATTGTTTACAAATTCAATTACACCCCTTTGAAATGTTGGCACTGATATTAGGAAAATGATTCTACAAAAAGAACTGCAAGATGCGGGAAATTTACAAATCATAGAACTCAGACACTTTTAAAGTTATCAAGCTCAATTTATAAGTTTCGAAGTAAATATTTTTTTTATTTGATACACCTTCTAGAAACTTGTGAGATAAATATATAAAGGGGAATATTGAGCACAAGAGAAACTTAAATCAATGCTGACTAATTTAAGCTGTAATGATAATCGTAAGACGGACCAAAAACCTATAGATCCCCTGTGCTACCGCGGGAAAGAAAGGGTCACAGAGCTTTACATTATTACATCATTACATTACATTATTAATAATTCTTGCTAGGAATTGACTGAATAATTCTCCTGCAAATTCACTTGGACTTCACTTCAGCATTTACTTAATACTATCCTGGTATTCCCAATTCCCAATTATCTTATGAATATTTTTTTAGTTCTGGTAGGAAATCCCAAAAATTCTTCGAAATGCTGCTGGGATTCTCCTTTGAATTTTCTATTTTTTTTTTTAAATTCAAAGGAGAATCCCAGCACACGGGAATATACTTAGAATACTCCTCGAATTCCACTTGAAATTTAGCTCAGAACTTTCTATGAATATTCCTAAGAAATCCGTTGGAAGTATTTTCAAAATTCTAATAGAATATATGTTGGAATTACCGTTGAACTTTGCTCCTTTCCTTGGTATTCAACTCACAACTATGAAATTCTCACCTGAAAAATTAATTACAGTTCTTCTTAGATTTCTCCACAAAATTTGTCAGAACCCTCTTGAATTTTTTGGCCGAATTCATTTGAGGTTCGATAGAAATTATATTCATATTCAATTGTAATCCTATGATTTCTCCGAAAACTCACATGGAAATATGCTTCGGATTCCTTTTGTCCCAGAATCTTCTTTAAATTATCCGTAGAATGTCCTCTTGTGTATTATCTTGAAGTTCTCCTCAGAATGATCATGGTGTAATCCTCCTTCTCGTCCAAATTTTCTCATAATTCCTTAAGAATTAACGTCAAAAAGTGTTATGAATTTTCATTAAAATTTGTATTGAATCTTATTCAAGGTTGCCTTGGAATTCTACTCAGAATTACAAAACTAGAGTTCTAGGACATTGACGAAAATGATCCACGGGTTTAATTTTATGGACATTGACAAGAATAAATATTTAAACGCATCAGGTACATGAACTTGGTGAAATTTTAGATGTGTGGATTCAAATTGAACTTATACCAATCAGTAGATCAACTATATATAAAATCAAAAGCTACTTATTGATGAAGTGTTTGATTTAAGTTACAATAAGTTTCTTATATACTGTA